GATTTCGAATTAAATTTTCACTGATATCATCTGATGCTGTGGTCTTCTCATAATTCTTTGGTAACACAATACCGAGAAAGACTGGTTAACACGCTAACCGAACAATTACCATTCTACCGAATTTGATCCTCACTGGGTGCGTTATATTTTTGATCTTATACCTTAAAGTTATTAAATACCTCGGGGAACTTAACATAGCTTGATAATTAGCAAGTCCTGAAGTACAAATCGATAGTACAGCGAGTTCAATTCTTATTAGACATTCGGTTAGTGTGACAATACGCGTAACAGGGTATATATATATATATATATATATATATATATATATATATATATATTTGTGTATTTAGGCAACAATCATTCTTTCATGCACATTTCATTGAATACGATAGACAAGGTGCTTTTATTTAGTTTTTTATAAAATTTCTCATGCGATCTAATATTTTTTTTTATATAAAAACTGTCCGAATGATCTTTTTATCCGAGCGCTTTCGGCTATACATTTAGCCATTTTCAAGGATGAAATATTTTAAAACTAATCATCATGTCATGTCTAAATTATTTAACCAGACCTGTTTGAATGAATATATGCTATATATATATATATATATATATATATATATATATATATATATATATATATATATATATATATATATATATATGACTGTAATGAGAACGAAAATAATATATAAATTCTAACGTTCACAGCATTAATTCAAAAGAGGGCTCAATACCAAGAGTAGAATAATATTTATTTATTTATTATAATTTTTTCATATAGAAAACAAAAACAATTTATTCACTACAAAGATGCAACTTCGTTTCGGTGCATTTAGTTGTACCTCGACTGGTGAGAACGAAAATGGTTATGAACAATTCTGTTTGTAAGCAAGCCGTCACCGTTTGAACTTATTCCCCCTTCCTTTTTCATGGTATTACTCTTTTCTGTTCCCACTTTTCCTCCCCACCCCTCACTATTAGAAGGTTTGGAAATGCTGTGCCTAAACCCTTGACACTTGTTGTCGAAAAGAAATTTTTCGGGTCTAGACATCACTTTAACACCCCAAGTCTGCTTCACCAAACTTTATCAACAAACACTAATGTTTCAATCTGTCATCCTTTTGTACTATTTATTTATTTTATATTTTTGTATTTTTCAAACAAATGGAAAAGGGAAGTGACGTTTCATATGCGGCTTCCTTACATAACATATATATATATAATTGTTTTTGTCTATATGAAAAAAAAAATATATATATACCGGGTTTCGATCCTAGCTAGAGGCAACGGCACGTCTAGACACACTGATGAGCTGTGATACAGCGAAACAGTCTGTGAATTACACTATCAGAACAGTAAACCAAAAATCCGAGGAACGTAGGCTTTTTATTTAAGAGCTATTATATATATATATATATATATATATATATATATATATATATATATATATATATATAATGACAGCTAAATTGTATCCGAATATACCTGTGCGCTAGGGTGGCTAGCTACTCCCTGCTTCAGACGCCCGCTCAGGCATATTCATATTTGTTCAATATCCACAGAGCCTGCTGTAACTATGATGACGCTTTTGTCTCAATTTTGGTGGTGGGGTGCGGGAGAGCGCGCATCATCTGACGTGAACAGCTGTCACAAAGCCTCGGTCACGATGACTTGTGACTGTGTGCTAGTACAATCGTGGATGAATCATTCCATCTGCAATACTTGGGTCAAACACTGATATGGTTTTCAGTCGCTTTTCAAAGGTTCTTCACGCTTGGATTGCTTTCCCAGACCAGTAACTTTAGGTAGGTAGATTTCTGGCAAATCGACCGTGATGAGATTCGAACCCGGATCTCATAGTCGGAAATACTGGAAATGGCAACTGGTGTTCGGGGTTTAAGAATCCGATTTTATAGGTAATTAGACCGATCCCCCAATTCGAAGTACTGACACCGCTATCATCCTCTTAATTTAGCCTTATGCAGTAGATAATGATCAAATCAGACCTACCTGTTCTGGTTTTAATCCTGGTGGCACCCATGTGTACTCCTCCAGGGGGCAGCCGCTGTCGTCGTCTGAGGTGGAGTTTCGTTTTAAATTGTGGACAACCTTATCCAAGTTCTTCATATCCCGTTCGCGATCTCGTTCTGGGATGGCGCCCAAGTCGTGGATTTCGTAGGGACATTTGCAATGTAGGCAGATTTTCCTGAAATGAAATTAATAGACTTGTTAATATTTATATTATTTAATCCTTTTTTTTTCAATAAGAAGAAAAGAAAAAATCACCCAATAAATGGCTCGAGAGTTACTCAAAGCAGAGGATTACAGAATGAGGTTCATGCACATTAAAGAAGAGGAAGATAAGAAGTGCAGTATATAAAAAGTTATCCTTCAGTTATGAAGGGGCTGACGAGATATCTCGTAAGTGATCATTTCTTTCTGTGCGGCTGGCGAGATATCTCGGAAGTGATCCTTTCGTTCTTAGCGGCTGGCGACA